TGGGAGAGCGTGGTGCTGATAACACCAAGTCAAGGGTTAAGATCCCTTTACCAGTCATCTTCTTTAAAAAAAAAAGGAATAAAGCAAAAAGGTCCTGTCATCCCTGTCTCCCATTTTCTCAGTTCCTACTGCCCTCTTCCAACAGGTAACTCCTGTTATTAGTTTCTTAGGTATCCTTCCAAAAGGTTCCTTTTTCCACATATAAGCAGTAGTACTTTGTATTTTTATACTCTTGTTTATACAGATGATTGCACACTATACACACTGTTCTTAATATATGTTGGAGATCTTTCCATATCAGTATATAAAGCGTCTGTATTCCTTTCTGTGGCTTTAACATATTCTGATATGGATGGATCATAACCAGCATTTGCAATTCTGATAAATAGTGCCAGTAGTTATCAGGGTCCTCCAGAAAACAGAACCAACAGGTGTGTGTGTGTGTGTGTATTATACAGATGTATATATGTGTATATATTATATAAATTGTGTGTGTATGCATACATATATATATATATCCAACAGGATATGTGTGTGTGTATATATTATACAGATGTATATATGTGTATATATTATATAAATGTGTACGTGTGTGTGTGTATATATATATATATATATATGAAATATAGAGAGAAAGATTTATTTGAAGGATTGGGTCACACAGTTGTGGAGTCCGGGTAAGTCTGCAGAGTAGACCAACAGGCTGGAGACCCAAGAAAGAGTTGCAGTTCAAGTCCAAAGGCTGTCTGTGGCAGAATTCCTTCTTACCTAAGGAAGGTCAGTCTTTGTTCTGTTAAGGCCTTCAACTGATTGTATGAGACCCACTCACATTTTTTTTTTTCTGCAACTGGCCAGTATGGGGATCCCAACCCTTGACCTTGGTGTTAACACCATGCTCCAACCAAGTGAGCTAACAGGCAAGCCATGGTCAACTCAGATTATGGAGTGGAATCTGCTATACTCAAAAGCCCACCAATTTAAATGTTAATCTCATCCAAAAAACACCTTCACAGAAACATCCAGAATAATGTTTGGCCAAGTATCTAGGCACCATGCTCCAGCCAAGTTGACAAAAAATTAACCCTCACAGTTCTACAAGGACCTTTACAGAGATTGTTCCAATTTATGCTTCCATCAGCAAGATTGCTGTCCACAAGTCCCAAAGAAATGTAAATGTGTTCATGAGGATTGTGAGAGCCTCATGTGCCTGAGACCATGAGGATCTAATTTAAAGAGATATCACATAATGTCAGAACAGGAAGGTACCTAAAATACAATCTAATTAAATCGATTCATATTGCAGATGGGGAAACTGAGGCCTAGAGATTGAAACTGGTCAGTGGCCAGTGGTCAAACAGTGCTGCCCTGTGATTCATAGGGTCCTACTTCATTCATAAATGGGATCCTGGGCTGGCCAGTTCCCAGCTGGTTAGAGCACAGTGGTATAACACCAAGGTCAAGGGTTCAGATCCCTGTACCAGCCAGCTGACAAAAAATGGGATCCTGAGAGACCTGAAGGGGATCAATTGACATGCCAAACCATCCAGTGCTGGTCCCGGTCAAGGTGCTCGGTAAGCAGCTGGCTGGCCACTGGACAGATTCTGACCAATGAGCTCCTTGTCCTGCCCAGTTCTGGCTCTTCTGCTCCACCTGGACCACAGTAGTAGCTTCCTGAGGGCCCCACATGAGTCTTCATTCAGCCTCAAAGCTTCTCCGATCCATCCTGTTTCCTGTGTGAGCATTCTTATGTGCATATCTCATGTCAGCCAATAGATCCAAATGCTCCTGGCTCTGCCTGGTGTCCAGGGTAAAGTCCGAATTCCTCAGCACGCTCAACCCAAGAGTCTGGCCCTGCTCTACCTACCTCTTCCAACACTCCACCTCCTTTGCCTCCTGGCAGGCATCCTGTACTGGTTCTTCCGGACTGTTTATAGCTTTCAAGCCATGAGGCCATCTGCTTTTTGTCCCTTTGGGCCTGCAGCACTTCCCCACACTTCTGAGTGCCTCCTCTGACAGCTCTGGGCCATAATAAGCAACCCATGGGCCTTCATACCTGTACCAGGGGCCAGGAGTGCAGGCCCTGGAGTCAGACTGCTTGGGTTCCAATCCTGGCCTCTCTGCTTACCACCTGTGGGATTTCTGACAAACTCCTTCACCTCTCAGAACCTTAGTTTCCCCAATTGTAAAATGGGTATAGTTGTCACTTCACAGGGTTATTGGGTGGGTCACTTAGCACAATGCTTGCTCAACTGTTGAGCAACTTATTATCAAATTACTCCAATTGTCTGTTTCCAGGGTTCTCTTCCCCACTAGCCGGTGAGCTTCTTGACAAGAGGCATGTTTTCAGCTCAATAACCCCAGCACTTAGCATCAGTCCTCCTCCCCACCCCCACCTTGTAACAGGTCCTGTCCTTTGTTAAAATGAAATGAGTCTGAGCGTAGCTCCTCCATGGCGGGACTGTTTACAAACCTGCCTGGCTTTGGAAAAATAGATCCAGGGAAGTTGTTTTGATTGTTGGTTAATTTTAACATAGGTCATAGGTCTGTAGTGTAAGGTGGCCAGGCTGGGCACCCATCTTCCAGGGGCCGTCCTCCAAGAGCAGTTAAACACCTTGCTCCCTGATCCCACAAACATTCTTGGAGCGCCTCCTATGGGCCAGGGCTTTGCTGGGCCCTGTGGGAGTAGGTGATAAGTTATGTACACAGATAACTGACAATTTGTCTTTTCTATGCAAGAGTAGACTATGTCCCCACTCCCATTTGCAATACGTCAGAGACCATTATGAACTCCAGGAACTGCTCCAGTCCTTTGTTGTATTGGAATTTTGTCACGAATATAATCTATTGAATAAGGGGCATTGATCAGGACCTGAAGACTATAGGGCAGGGACTTTACCACAGTGCTGGGGATTTGAGCAGGATCTTCCTTACTGTTAGCATTTCATCTCTGCATCGATTCACTCTCGTTCCTATTCTGTTTAGAAATCTGCTCTCAGTTAACCTCGTCTTTGGCTACAAGTTTATTCTTATTTTCTTTTGGAGCTTAGTGTTCATTAAGATAGATGGTAATGGTCAGGCAAGAGAAGATGACCCAGAAATACCTGTATTCTTTCCCTAGAGGAAAAAGGACTGTTCTGGCTGCGGGGGCAAGGTGGGGGGTGATAGGCATTCAGTATTCAGTTCTGACATTTTTTTTAAAAAAGCTGCTGATGGCAAGGAAAATCCCCAAATAGTAGTTGGCTGCTTGCTGCTCCTCCTCAACCGATATTTTCCTAGAAGATATTTGGTCTTTTCTGGATTGCATTACTGCACATTTTTTATATTTCACAGAGGTATTTGAGAATTTCTGTGC